TTTGCTGTGTCATTTGATGACAAAAAGAAAAAACAAAACAAAAAAAACCTTTTTCCATATTTTTGATTCAAGTATAACTCAAACTCCAACCAAGAAATATGGTTCTTGGTAACTGAACCATGTGATTAATATTTGTATTTATGCTTTGAGGGTAATTGTTTCTTTATGCTTCAAAATTAACTGTGTCTATATCGTTGGAGCAGCTGAAACACTGTAATGAATACATTTGTGCGTAATTACATTCCATGTCTTAATGAGCTCAATTCGCTTTCTCCTCCATACTTCTGAGGTTCCTTTCTGTTTCAGAAAGGTGTGGAAGAAAACAAGCTGAACCAGGGCCAGCAGGTGGCATGGTGGTTAAGGCACTGGTCTCCCACATGGCCAACTGCAGTTCTAGTCCTAGACCTGGTGGCTTGAGAATCACACCAGGCACGTGAGTACGCATGTCCAAAATCCCAGAAGGAGAATGGAGGGGAAGTGATGGCAGCATGGCCATCCCCTCAGGGGATGGTGGGGGGCCTGACAATGAGGGACAGTGAGGGGCAACCCAGACACCAGGTTTTCCATACCGGCTCCACTCTCTCACTCCATTTTGCTTTAAATCCTCTCCATCAGGAAGTGGGCTCTCACGGGACATGGGTACAGCATGATGCTCTGTGAGGCTGACCCATAGAGGAGGGTTCCAAGTTTGTGTCTGATGCCCACCCTGATCATACCAGCACGCACATGCCCATGATGCTGGGTTGGCTGAGACAAAGGATGGTTCGTAGTGTGAAGAACCTGTTGGGGGTACTGTCTGTGTGCATCTATCTGTCTGTGTCTATTGCACATGAAATAAATATAGGGGCCAGCAGATGGCGTAACAGTTACATTGCTGGATTCCCACATGGCCAACCACAGTCCAAGTCCCAGACCCAGTGGCTTGAGACTCATGCGGGGCCTGTGTGCGTACGTGCACAAGATCCCAAGAGGAGAAGGGATTGCGGCATGGCCATCCCCTCTCGGGGGTGATTTCTGTCTCTGTCTCTCTCTGGTGAATGCACGTACCCTAAGGCAAAAGCCTCTAGTTAAAAAAAAAAAGAAGGAAATGCATAAACTTTAAAATACAGGACCTGCACCATGGCGTGGTGGTTAAAGCAGCCAGATCCCACGTGGTCAACCACGTGGTACAAGTCCCAAACCCTGAGGTTTGAGAAACATGCTGGGAACATGTGAGTTCATGCCCCAAATCCCAAAAGGTTGGAGAGATGGAGGAGGGATCGTGGCATGATCATTCCCCATGGGAGGTGCTTTCTCCTATCCCCCTCCCTCTATCCCTCTCTAGCAAAAAATAAAAGTATGGTGACTTTGGACAAATTACTAAACCTTTCTGAGCCTTAAATTCCTCATCTGCAAAATAGATATAATACTCTCAAGCCTCGGCTTCCAGAAAAGACTCCACTGGGTATCACACTATATATTCACGTTACATAACACTTGGCAAACCTGTGACATACTATGGGCGGGACCGCAGTTGGCGTAATGGCTATGTCGCTGGACTCCCATGTAGTTGACCACGGTTCAAGTTCTGGACCCAGTGGTTTAAACTCATGCCAGGCATGTGTGCATGAGTGCCCAAGATCCCAAGAGGAGAATGGAGGAGAAGGGATTGCGGCATGCAGGGGGTAATTTTTTGCTTTTTGTCTCTCTGTCTCTCTCTCTTTCTGGTGAGTGCACGCGTCCTATAGCAAAAACCTCTTCAAAAAAAATAAAAAAAAAAGATACTATAGGTACCTAAGAGCATATTAATATTAAACTGAAAGCATATTCTAGTAAGCTTTAGTTTCCCAAATGCAGGCTTTAAGACATAGATTCCCTTTATTTGTAAGATCCTTAAAATTTGCATTGGAAAAAATTGTTAGAACATCTTCCTCCACGTGAACCACACATGCTGTCTGTGAATCACTTTCATCCCCAAATTAGTAGAATCCAAATTAGTAGGGCTTTCCTATAGTGAAATCTGTTTAAGCAAACATCTGCTGGTTCTCTGAAAAGTGATTTTTTTTTCCACAGGTGGTCTTTGAATTTGTGGCCCAAAATCCAGGAAAAGCAAATGTAGCCTTCGAGAAGGAAGTCCTTCAAAGAGAGGTAGTGTCCTTGAGAGCTCTTTCTCCTCCCAGCTGGGGAGGAGTGTGAAAAGGAACTCAAAGGAACTCGACTCAGGGCCAGGAAGTGCTGGGATCTAATGAAAGTGACAATGACTGCTTCATCACTGTCAGGGCCATACTGACTGAAAGAACACGTTTTTCCTGTTACTAATATTCTTGATCAAAGCATGAAAGGAAGCATATGTTTTAGTTGAATTAAGGCCCATTTTCTGTTTTCTCAATGACTCATTTTTTTTTTTTTCAGGAAGTAGAGAGCTACAAAATGCAATCCCAAAGCCATGAATTCTGCCCTTAGGTTTACCCAAGATTTCCCGAATGACCTTGCACGGATTGCTGAGGGCACAGACTTGCTTTGGTGACTGCATCTATAACAGA